GCTCCGGATCCTGAGGGTCCGGATCTCTTCTGTTCGGTGATCCGTCGATCTGGATCACGGGATCCGGGATGGATGGATTCGTTGCCTGGTTGGATGGATCCATTCTCAAGTTATGGAGTGAAGGATTCAATTATCTCGTCCCCACAGACGGCGCCAAAATGTGAGGGATAAAACTCACTTCCAAGTTTTAGGTTAGGTTAGGATTAGGGAGAAGACAATCGTGGGCTGAATCCCTTAAGAACTTAGAGAATGAATACGTTGTTTATATTGATTTTTGGTAATAAAAGAGTTTACAAGGATGATCTTGATGATCTAATAGAAAGAACACTTGGTTGATCAAAAGTGATTAAGAACAATGTGTATTAGAGTCTTGTTATCTTGAATCAGTCGACCTCTTCCTCTGATCTCTTCTTTCCTTTATATAGCACTAGGTCACGTCCAACTTCTCCCGACGAAGCCTCCGTGATTATCTCCGTGAGTTGCGGGATTCACAACAGCTTCCGCTTGACTAAGTCTTGCACGTCTCTCCGGCTCTTGCTAGCTGTTTTGACAATGAGGTCCCGAGTCTTTTGGCTGTGACCTGTTTTTATCGATAGGTAACGATTTTATTTGACCCTCGCTTGAGGGGAGGCTTCCTAATGGGCTCGTAAAGCTTCGCAAACGGCTCTTACTATTTGGCCCATTAATTCAGCTAACGGGCTAAATTCGGGCCCAACAGTACCCTCTGTCATGTTATGGGTGATCGAGCGAAACCAAGACAGAACGAGTACAATACTCAAGCTGTTAGACAACAAAAACTTCAACGTCCCCTATTACCTAATGTAGAGGACAAGTCTAAACAGCAAGAAGTGCACAAGAACTTACCTCAGAGACGACGATTACATTTGACACCAGCGGAATTAACGGAGTTGAAGAGGCTAAAGCTGTGTTTCCAATGTAAGACGCGATGGTTCCGAGGTCATGTGTGTGCCAACCCCGAACTCAAAATAATTGTTCTGTGTGAGGGGGTAGAAGCGGAGGTGTTGCAGGATACTTATGATGAGGAAGACATGGAGGAGGTAGTAGAGGATGAGTTGAAGAATCCTCAGTTGTTGGAGATATCTCTCAACGCTTTTCTTGGTTTGGATTCTCCAACCACAACCAAACTTAGAGGAGTGTTAGAGGGATACAATTTGGTGGTGCTTATCGACAGTGGAGCGACACACAACTTCGTTACTCCTGAATTTGCAAAGAAAGCTGGCCTTAAAATCCGTACAGATTCAGGCTGGCAAGTGATTCTTGGTAACGGAATAACAACTTTATCTGGAGGCATGTGCAAAGACGCTAAACTTGTGCTGCAGGGCCTTGAGTTCATTATCGATTGCATCACCTTGGATCTTGGCAAGGTGGATCTCGTGCTGAGAGTGCGCTGGCTACGCACGCTGGGGAAGTGTGAAATTGATTGGATTTCTCAGGAGTGGAATTTTTGGTACAAAGGGAAAAAGGTGACCTTACAAGGAGAACCAGACTTGCACATTCCGAGCACATCTTTCCACCATCTTTCCATGGAGGATGGTCAATGGGAGGTACCGCAAGATTCATGTCTCTATGCGTTAACTGAGGAACAATCAGTACAACAGGTCTTACCAGTGGCTCTCAGTAATGTCTTGAGCTTCTATGAACATGTTTTTGCTAAGCCACAGGGTCTTCCACCTATAAGGGGCAGAGAACATGCTATCACTTTGAAAGCTGGCACTACTGCGATTAACGTTCGACCCTATAGGTACCCTCAAGCCCACAAGGAAGCAATGACTGTGATGGTTGAAGAGATGTTGGCAAAAGGGCTTATCCGAGCTAGTCGTAGTCCTTTTTCCGCCCTGAATCAAGACTTGGCGTTTCTGTGTTGATTATCGCGCCCTGAATCAAGCCACCGTGGCTGACAAGTCTCCAAATACGTATGGAGGAGAAAGATATACCCAAGACAGCTTTCAGAACTCATGATGGCCACTACGAGTTCTTAGTAATGCCGTTTGGTCTCACCAATGCTCCATCTACTTTCCAATCGTTGATGAACGACCTTTTCCGGCCCTATCTCAGTAAGTTTGTATTGGTGTTCTTCGACGACGTCTTGATCTACAGTAAAAATGCAGAGGATCATGCAAGACATTTGGATGCAGTATTGAAGGTTTTTGAACAGCACACCTTATTTGCCAACAAGAAGAAATGTTGTTTGCTCAGACACAGATAGAGTACCTCGGTCATGTGATTTCTGCACAAGGAGTGGCCACGGATGCAGTTAAGACAGAATCGATGAAAGCTTGGCCTACACCTAAAAGCGTTAAACAACTCAGAGGTTTTTTGGGACTCACTGGTTACTACGGAAGGTTTTTCAAGGGATATGGTTCGCTGGCTCGTCCCCTCACGAATCTACTCAAGCATGATAAGTTCGTGTGGTCCACGGAAGCTCAGGATGCCTTTGACACTTTGAAGAACGCAATGGTCTCTGCACCGGTTCTGTCACTACCTGATTTCACTCTAACGTTTGTGGTGGAATGTGATGCTTCAGATTTTGGAGTGGGAGCAGTTTTGATGCAAGACAGTCGTCCTATAGCTTACTTTAGTCATGGTTTGACCGCTCGTGAGCAACTAAAACCAATCTATGAGCGTGAACTAATGGATGTGGTCTTAGCTATCAGAAAATGGAAGCACTATTTGATGGGAAGAAGATTCATAGTCCACACTGATCAGAAGAGTTTGAAATTCTTGCTAGAACAGAGGGAAGTTAGTATGGAGTATCAGAAATGGTTGATCAAGTTACTAGGCTATGAGTTCGACATTGTTTACAAACCTGGAATCCAGAACAAGGCTGCAGATGGGTTGTCTCGCATAGAACACACGGAATTGCAGTTTGTCGAAGCTTCATTGTTTGCAGTTACGATTCCAAAGTCACTCCAACTACATGATCTCCACAAGGAAATTGCCGAGTGCCAGGAAATACAAATGTTGATACAGCGAGTATTAGAGAATGATGAGGGTTTACAACATTATTCAGTGAGGAATGGTACATTGTGGTACAAAGGCCGTCTGGTGATTCCGAAGTCTTCAGCTTTCATTGCTACTATATTGCAGGAATGTCATGATGGGTTACAGGGAGGTCACTCTGGGGTTCTTAAAATTGTCAAGAGAATTCAGAGATGGTTCCATTGGGAGGGGTTGCTCAAGTCAGTTCAGCACTACGTTTCTGCTTGTCATGTTTGCCAAACGCACAAATATTCTACACTAAGTCCAGCCGGGTTGCTTCAACCATTGCCAATTCCGACTGCTATTTGGGAAGATATCTCTATGGAATTCGTGGAAGGGTTACCTACTTCTAATGGGTTCAACGTGATATTTGTGGTTGTGGACAGATTAAGCAAGTACGGACACTTCATTGGTCTTAAACACCCGTTTCAGGATATAGATGTGGCTAAGAAAATTTGTGCTGAGGTCGTCAAGCTCCATGGTTTCCCAAGATCGATTGTGTCAGATCGTGAGAAGGTTTTTCTGAGCAGTTTTTGGAAAGAGTTGTTTCGGTTGGCAGAGACATCGTTGAAGTTCAGCACCGCGTTTCACCCACAAACCGACGGTCAAACAGAGGTTCTCAACCGTTGTTTGGAAGCTTTTATGCGTTGCTTTGCTTCGTCCCATCCTCGTACTTGGTTCAAATTCTTGAGCTGGGCTGAGCTCTGGTACAATACATCATATCACACTTCCTTGAAGACTACTCCATTCAAAGTTGTCTATGGTCGAGATCCACCGATGTTGTTCAAGTTTGAGAAAGGGTCTACGGAGAATGCTGATTTGGAAGAGATGTTACTCGAAAGGGATGCGTTACTAGCTAATGTGAAGCAGCATCTGACACATGCTCAACAGTTGATGAAGAATAATGCAGACAAACACCGTCGTGACGTGGAGTTTAAAGTGGGTGATAGGGTCTATTTGAAATTGCGTCCTTATCGTCAACAGTCTATGGTTCGTCGTGTGTGTCAGAAGTTGGCAGCTAAATACTTTGGACCCTATGAGATCTTGGAAAGGATTGGGAAGGCTGTGTATCGCTTGGCCTTACCCGCGGAGACAAGAATTTATCCCGTGTTCCACGTCTCTCAACTTAAAGCAGTTTTGGGGGCTCATCACCAGGTCCTTCCTTTACCGGTGCATCCTCCTGGCTTGAAGGATATTGTGATATTACCTGAGGAGGTGTTGGAAACGCGTTATGATGCGCAGGGGAATTTAGAGTTACTGGTTAAGTGGCAATCACTACCAGCTTCGGAGAACTCTTGGGTGTTATGTGGTGAGTTTCGTACACAGTTCCCAGAGTTTAAGCTTGAGGACAAGCTTTGTTTCGAAATGGGGGGTATTGATAAGCCTCAATGTTGTTACGTGAGGAGGAAGAAGAGAGAGTTGAGTGGAGAAGGAACGAGGGAAATTCAAGAAGGTTTGAATTCGCTGAAAGACTCTACTTCACGTGGAGGGATTGAAGATTAAAAGACTCGAGTTCGGACAGAGGGTTTCGTTTGCGAGAGAGACTCTGTTTCTTTTAGAGTGTTTGCCATTATGGCAGTTAGAGTTGTTAAATAGCCGTTGTGGCTTTTACTTTCGAGTCAGCTTTGATTTTGGAGATAGAGACGAGAGTCTTGAGGAGTAATCGTCTGGGTTAGGCCAGCGATTCTCATTCATTTCCAGAAACAAAGTGTGTAATCGAGATTTGCTTATCAATAAAGTGTTTGTGATTGAGTTTTACAGAGAAATCTACATCTAAACTCTATCACAATGTATAACAAAGCAGGCTGAAACAGAGACAAAACAAAACCCATCAGATCAATCTAGAAAGCTTATGAGGCTGGAAACTTCTATAACAATATTACATATATTCTCATCAACAGTAAACAATTCAGTAAACCTTTAAATAGGCTGCAATTGTGAATCACAACAATTAAACACATTAAAAAAACTGACATGTGCTGCTTGAAACCAGTTCATTACTACAATTGTGAGGAGAACTCCAACAAGTATCCCACAAATGCACTTGTGAAGTATTTTGGCTGACTACGTTTTGACACATCAAATCTTAGAGCGAGTGCAACAAAAACACCTAAAGAAAAACAAAAAACTTATCTCTCACATTCATATAATAATATCCAAAACATGGTTCGAGAATATTGAGTTAAGCATTGTCCATCGGTCTTAGAAGACATAGACGAAATGACAATATCACCAATCCCAAGCATAGAATAGGGTCTTAGAGCATCTCCTGTAGGGAACAAAAGCTAGAAAAAATGCAACAATGTGATCACTAATAAAATTACCCAGTCAAATTAATTTTGGTTTATATGTACACTTCTGAGACATATTTACTAACCTTTATCGGAGCATCAAAGGATTTGGCAACACTAACCATAAATGGAGAAGAGAAAGTAAACAGACCTAAGAGCTCAAGGTTGGTGTTCTGCAGGGGAAAAACATGGAAATATATCGTATCTGCAGAAACGAAATCGAGGTCCTGATTCTTTTTTTTTTAAACATGGAAATAGATCGGAGAAATACGTACCAGCTCATCTAGGAGGAGAACCGTAATCTCCATGAACTCGCGAGAAATACTTTCTGACATGTTCTTCCAAGGCGAAATGACGCGAAAGTGGAGTACGCGACTGCGGCGTTACTTTGGTAGCAGTGTATATCAAAGAAATCAGTAGAGATGAAAAGTGCTACAACAAATGATAACTCGCGATATATATAGGAGGATCAAGGACGCGTTAAAGAAGAAGCGTTTTTTGGGTAGAGATCGGTATGTAGAACAGTTCAACGGAATGCAAACAGTCAGGAGTCGAGGAAGAATCTGGAAGGAATACCTAATGGGCCGAATGTTTAACCTTTTGAAAAGTAAAATCCATGAAAGAAACAAAACATCATGCCAAATAAAAAATAACACGCAATGCAACTTAAAATGGCATACAACTCGAAAAACAGCACACAAGTTGCAACAGAAAGGAGGTGGACCCAAGGATACGCTGATGTGGCTTCTTGTGGGAGAGACAAAAAATCTCTCATTATATATACGATTATTAGACTATTATCCACGCTGAGTGCATAAAGTTCAGCAAAAATAAATCATTGAACTGGAGTATTGCAAGGGGGATGATCAAGTCGCAGACATTCTCACAAAGACATTGGACAGTTCAAGGTTTGAAGACCTCAGGAAATAACTTGGAGTGAAGTCGAGATATGATTAAGGAGGAGCGTTAAATTATATAATCGAATCTCTCCTTAGTACATTCAAATTAGTTAGTTATTATACAAAGAGTTGTGACTCTTCATGTTGTGTCTTTTAGAATGAAAATGTGTGTGTATAATTAAGAGTTGTGTCAATACAATTGAAAGTTGTGTCTTTACAAAAAAGAGTTGTGTTGTTTCAGCACACCTGTTCATTCTCTGTAAATATAGATCGAGTCTTGTCTCAGAATTCAATTCAACAATTGAGTGTAATACAATAAAAGTTATACTCTGTTTTTTTTTCTTTCATAAAACAGAGCACGTTAATTACATTCATTCTTCTTCTTCTAAATTGTAAACACTCAGAGAATCAACATGGTATCAGAGCCACCAAAGAAGTTTAAGTCCATGGTTGAGATCATGGAAAAGACATCAAGAGTAGAGCTTGGAGAAACGGCTCAAGCAATAGAATCTTGTCTTCATGCACATGAAGAACCATACACTTATGATGAAGCATGTGGTACAAAGGAATGGAGGAAGGCGATGGATGAAGAAATTGCCATGATTGAGAAAAACAAGACATGGGAACTAGTAGACAAGCTAGAGAAAAAGAATGTGATAAGTGTGAAGTGGATCTATAAGATCAAGACCGATGCAAGTGGCAATCACATCAAGCATAAGGCGCAACTAGTAGCAAGAGGATTCTCTCAATCATATGATGTTGACTACCTTGAGACGTTTGCTCCTGTCTCAAGACATGATATAATAAGAGCCATACGTGCATATGCAGCTCAGATGTAGTGGTGTTTGTATTAGATGGATGTGAAGTCGGCATTTCTCAATGGGGAGCTGAAGGAAGAAGTGTATGTGACACAACCACATGGGTATGTGAAGCAAGGAAAGAAAGAAAATGTGTTTAGGCTACACAAGGTTTTATATGGTTTAAAGCAAGCCCCAAGTGCATGGTATGGAAGGATAGATTCATATTTTCTTCAAAACGGATTTGAAAGAAGTATGAATGATGCAGCTTTATGCATAAAAAAAAAAGCAAGGAGGAGATGTGATGATCGTGAGTCTATATGTGGATGATATAATCATCACTGGAAACAATGTTAAGATCATCAACACATTCAAGGAGAATATGAAGAAATAATTCGAGATGATGGATCTTGGATTACTGAACTATTTCCTTGGAATGGAAGTAATTCAAGAAAATGGAGGCATATTTCTTTCACAAGAAAAGTATGCAAACAAACTTGTTGATAAGTTTGGGATGCGACACAGAAAGATTGTAAGAACTCCACTTAACACCACAAAAGAAAGGAGTTGATGAGGATGACAAAGAGTATGGAGATCCGACTAAGTATAGAAGCATTGTTGGAGGGCTTCTGTACTTATGTGCATCAAGACCTGATTTGATGTATGCAAGTGCCTATCTCTCAAGATACATGTCATCACCTCGCATGAAGCACTACTAAGAAGCCAAAAGGGTGTTAAGATATGGCAAAGGAACATCACATTTTGGAGTGTTCTTTACAAGTGTGAAGGAACCACGACTAATAGGCTACTCGGATAGCGATTTGGGTGGTTCTAAAGAAGACAAGAAAAGCACTTCACACTTCAGGTTATGTGTTTACTCTTGGTTCAGCTATGTTTTGTTGGCAGTCAAGCAAGCAACAAACAGTTGCACAATCAACAGCTGAGGCAGAGTACATAGCCGTAAGTGCATCAGCAAATCAAGCCATGTGGCTACAAAGACTATTTGAATATTTTGGTCAAAATTTTGAAGGAGGCATTCCGATCTTATGTGACAACAAATCAACAATAGCAATCGGGAAGAATCCGGTGCAACACAGAAGGACGAAGCACATAGAGATCAAGTATCATTTTGTGAGGGAAGTTCAGCAAAAAGGAATCATTGAACTGGAGTATTGCAAGGGGGATGATCAAGTCACAGACATTCTCACAATGGCATTGGGCAGTTCAAGGTTTGAAGACCTCAGGAAACAACTTGGAGCGAAGTCAAGATATGATTAAGGAGGAGTATTAAATTATATAATCAAATCTCTTCTTAGTACATTTAATTTACTTAGTTATTATACAAAGAGTTGTGACTCTTCATGTTGTGTCTTTTAGAATGAAAAGGTGTGTTTGTATAATTAAGAGTTGTGTCTGTACAATTGAAAGTTGTGTCTTTACAACAAAGAGTTGTGTTGTTTCAACACACCTGTTCATTCTCTATAAATATAGATCGAGTCTTGTCTCAGAATTCAATTCAACAATTGAGTGTAATATAATAAAATTTATACTCTATTTTGTTTTTTTTTCATAAAACAGAGCACGCTAATTATATAAATATTTATTCTTCTTCTCTTTCTTAAAAATTGTAAACACTCAGAGAATCAGCAAATTGATGGTTTACACTGTGTTTTAGGGAAAACGGCTTATTCATTCTCGAACTATGAATTTCTGGAAATAACATACCTAGAATTTTTTTACGTTCTAAAACATACCTAGTTTTTTTTTTTGTGCAAAAACATACTTGAATTTTTCTTGTGTGCGAAAACATACCTAAATTATACATAATTTGACTTACATACATGAACTTATAAAATTCACGCTAATTCATACATTGACATTAACAATATTTAATCATAGTTAAGGATACTAACTAGGATAATATGTGGTTGATAGTCAGCTTCACATACAAACATTGTGGGAACCGAAATTCACCCCTGTCGATTTTACGTAAATTTAGGAACTTAGAGTAAACCCTAATTGCCCAGAGGACCCGGCTATCTGCGGAACCGCACACAAGCAATCAAGAACGCGATAAATATAAAGTAAGGATGTAAATAACGAGATTGAGAGCTAAAATATTCTTATTCCGAGTTTGCATAAGAACAGTACAACTAGAGTTAGCCTTAGCTGCGTGAGCCGTCGGCGAGATTCCTAACCCTAGCAATCTAAGACTAAAACCCTAGTTGAGACGCAGCTCGAAAACAAAAACGAAAATATTCCTAAGTGCTAAGTTTTGGTGGTGAAAGCTCTGAAAACTCGTCCTCTGCTTCTGTCCTCTGCCTTCTGCTTATATACTGTGGGAACCAAAATTCACACTGTTGATTTTTCGTCAAATATGGAAATTTAGGGAAAACCCTAATTTTCCCGAGGTCCTGGATCTCTGCGGAAATCACTAGAACAAACAAAATCAACAAAATATGGATGAACGACGAAGAACAGAGAATAAAGAATTTGCGTGAAAGCTTTTTATTGAATAAGAGATCGACAACTGTTACAAGAGAGAATTGCAGAACTTAGACGTCGTAACGTTCTAAGGATCTGGCTTGCTAGTCTAAACGTTAAGTCCTAAATTTCTAAGCTAACAGCCGTCTCTCTAGGTCTGATTTTCCGCGTCCCCTGCTACTTCCCTATGCCTCTTGCTTATATACTCCCTTCATTGGCGGTTTGATCCTTCCATTTCGCCCCGATTCGAGTTTATCGAGAATTTTCCTTTTGTGTTTATCTTTCTTTTTTCCCGCAGAAATCTTCCATTTATCTTCAAACTTGACATTTATCTTCAAACTTGACATTTATCTTCCTTCTGCGGTAAATCGTCAAAACGTTATCGTATCTTCGGGCTAGATTTCGTTAAGATCACGAGATGGGCTTTTTATCGCGTTTTAGGACCTTCCGAGCCGTTTTACGATATATCTGTTTTGCGACTTTATATGAGATCGTTTCCTGATCCGATGTCGTTTTTAGTAAATTCCCAGAGTTAATCCTAAAGTTTAGCTATGTTCGTTTTTCGGTTAATCATTGTCGTTTTTACGATTCACTCGACGTTTTTTATTAAAAACGCGTTTTTATGATTTTTATGCAAAATTTAGAATAAATCGTATAGTTTAGGCAATGTTCGGTGTTTCGTTTAAACGTTGCCGTTTTATACGATTTCCTCGAGTTCTTTTCGAGAAAACAAAGTTTTACGGTTTTTATCGTAAAATTCGAATGGTAAGATGGATTGAGACGAAACGGGAGACATTTCAACCGTGTTTAGGGACATGATCGTGTCAAAGGACATAGGCCTTGAATCGGGGACTTGGGAAATCAAGGCTCGGGATGGTCGGCTCGACGTAAGGCGAACCGAACCGGACCGGTTCAGCTCGCCGTTCGGCGAGCTACCCGGGGAGCTTCTAGTCGTGATCGGACTAGCTCGCCGAACGGCGAGCTGAGTCAGTGTGCTGGGACTAGCTCGCCGTTCGGCGAGCTAGTCGTGACGGGACTAGCTCGCGTTTTACGGCGGTTTTGGTTTTTCGCGGTTTTGTGCTTAACTCGGACGATCGCGTAATCGACGTTTGTTTCGTTCTTCCGAGA